CACACACACACACACACACACATGCATGCACAGTAAGTGAAATTTGGATGAAACAGTCTGCTTTTTTCAATGGAGTTGTGACAAACTACACAACGAGAAAAAAAAAAAGGCAGAAAGAACTGTTTTTTGTTATGGAGTTAAAAAAAAAAACAAAAAAAAAACCAGCTGTATGTGTGTTTGTGAATACTGATGTTTTCTCTTTGCCCTCCCCTCCTCTCTTTGATTGTCTTCTGGTTTTCCATTTACTGTCTTCAGCGGTTTCGAACACGGTCGAAGTTGGCCCAAACAGAAATCGGCCCTCTGCTCCACTACAAAAAACATGTTTATGCAGCATGAAAGTGAATCTCCGGCTAAAACATGAAATTCAATATGAGTCTGTGAAAGCAGGGTTGTCGTAAAGGCAGGACCTGGTACTACCGGTAGTAGTTATAAAGCACTTCCACGTACTACGGGAATTTACCGTCCGTCCATTCTCTTCGACCTCCTCGCGCTCCTCCTCCTCCTCTTCTCCCTCCTCCTCCTCTTCTCCCTTCTCCTCCTCTTCTATTCGCGGTGATGCTGCAAACTACCCCTGACGATGGCCGGTGCACTGGCGAACCGGCCGAAACGTACGTTGGGTGCACGCCAGTTACGCTTCAAGCTATGGCGCTTCGCGCCGTCTTTCAGCTTAACATTGATTTTCACACAAGCTGATTGCGCTCGGGGGACTTTGCGTCTATTTTTCTCTCTCGCTTTCTCTTCCATGTGTCTTTCTGAATGAACTGCCGTAAGTGTTTTTTCACTTGGCTTCATGTTGCGTGGAGTTATTCTCTACTGCATGCTAATTAACTATCTGTCGTTACACAATCATCATGCTCTGGCTTCATTGCTCCGATGAGGATGAGCATACGTTTCTATCTTTCTGGGCAGGATTAAACCTGCCTTGTTATTACTTGCATAATGCAACCTTCCCGCAGCCAAGCACGTAACCAAGAATAATGGCAAATCGCTACGTGCCCGCCGCCCGCCCGGACATTGGCAACAAACCACTCAGTGAGATTCCCCAATTGTGGCCGTCGATTTCTGGTTGCCTAAACATGTCTCAATCCGAGCCAAAAAAGTCTAGTATTTCCAAATAAGCTTTTGTAGGAGCACTACGGTCTGCTGCTCAAATGGTTTCTTATGAAGTTCGTATAATTTGGTCTTATTATTATAATTACTGTATGTACTAATGTGCGGAGGTTCTTGTAATTTCACGGAAATCGTCATAGCACAAAAACAGAATCTGATATGGTTTGGTATTCCCCTTTTTCCTTTATTGATTCTGTTTTTTATTTCTTGTTTAGCCGAAATATTCTCAGGGCCGAAACCGAAACGAAAACGAAACGAGTGCATCTGCCCGCGCAAGGTGGCAACATAACACTCGTTACTATTCATAGCAAACGGATGAACGTGGCCATTGTCTGCCGTTAGATTCACTCGTTTCGTTTTTCGTTTGCTGTGCCGTGCGGCGACGCCCTCAGTTAGATGTGATGTGAATCACATCCGGACAATCCCACGTCCAGGTCCGGAAAGCGATTTCCTTCTCATCATAGAAACCAGCACCATCCTCTTCATGGGCACAGCCCTATCCTTCGCTGTCACGAGAGCCGTTCATCCGTCTCCAAGCACACTTTCGTCTTCCTTCTTTTTTCTCTTTAGTTCTTTTCGTTTTCGTTTTTTCGTTTTCGTTTTTTCGTTTTCGTTTTTTCGTTTTCGTTTTTTCGTTTTCGTTTTTTCGTTTTCGTTTTTTCCGTTGTCGTTTTTCCGTTGTCGTTTTTTTCGTTTTCGTTTTTGTTTGCCCTCCGCAGCAGCGGCCATGGTAAACTTCAGTCTCTGTATCGTATCAATTATAACGGATCCGCAGTCCTTCTGCCTTCAATGAAACTGCGTCATTGTGAAATCGTCGTCCGCCCTACTGCGTATTTTCCTTTCTCGTATTTTCGTCAGTATTTTCCTTTCTCTTTTTGGTACCTTGCTTCACCTCGTTCTCTCTCTCTCTCTCTGCTTTCCACTGACGTCATCATGACCACTATTCTACAGGAAGCAAACATTCAATCTGTGTCTCAGGCCAACACACCTAACCATCAGCAAGCTGTCATACCGACACATGTGACGCTTCAGCGAGCCTGAGAACAAACTTTACTGGGTTCTCCGGCTGAGTTCTGTAAATCAGCACGCAGGGCGGAAGGGGTGTAGGGACGGGGGGCGGATCTCTCTCTCTCTCTCTCTCTCTCTCTCTCTCTCTCTCTCTCTCTCTCTCTCTCTCTCTCTCTCTCTCTCTCCATCTGAACCTTGGCACTGATATCTGTTTGAATTCCCTGTTAAGCACACAACGTATTTGGTAGCAGATCTATAGTTTGTGCTCGATTCTCAACATGTGAATGGGTTTCTGTCTGTGCGTTTTGTCTGTACTATGCTCTGTGATGCATGCAGTTCAATCAAGGCTACTGTTTGTACATTCGGATCTTCTACTGCCAGGTATGCTGCAAACTGTTTAGCTATCTATCATTACACAATCATCATGCTCTGTCTTTACTGCTCAGATGAGGATGAGCATACGTTTCTATCTTTCTGGGCAGGTTTTAATCTACCTTCGTATTACAACCTTCATGCAGCCAAGCACGTAATACGTGCCCGGACGTTAGCACATCCGGTGAAATGGTCGAGTGCAAAATTTATCAGTCTGGGTCAGACGACTGATTTTAATTTAATTACTTTATTAATTCAAATCTATGTCAGGTGGCCGGTCCACATATTCTCTAAGCTCGCACCGGGGCGAGGGGTGGCGGGGTGGGGGGGCGCGGAGCACTCCCTCCCCCACACAAACGACCTATTAGGTAATAGGTCGTTTTTTTTTTGTTTTTTTTTTCTTGGTAATCGGTCATTCTTGAAACTGACCTTTTTTTTTTTTTTTTTTTTTTTTTTTTCAAATAACTCTCTTCCTGTGCTAGTGCTGCTGATACCAATTACGTAATCGGTCAGTTTCAAAAACGACCGATTATGTGGGGAGGTTGTTCCGCTTCTGCTTCCATCAGGGCTAGGAGGTTGGCCCAGCCTTGGTGCTTGTCACTGCTGTTTGGTCCAAGTTGCCCGCTATACT